CGCGTGGAAGCCTCCGTCTGCCACCTACAACCGTACTCAACTGTGGGATATAAGTGCTGAGTACCCCTCAGTAGTGCTGGGCACACTGAGGTCCTCTGGACTGTGGGGCGGAGGGCACACCGGCCTTGGTGGGGACAGTTCCACATGGCTGCAGGGGTGATCTGGCCTGAGTTGAGGAGTGGGGGCCCATCCCATGCCAGTGCTAGGGTAGATTACGGTCCTGGCTGCCTTCCGGGACCCTTACCTGTGCCACAGCCCAGACCTAACATCTGGGACCGAGAACAGTTTTCAAACCCTGGCAGCTCAAAGTGGAGGGTGAAAAAAAGTGAGAAGGTGAGTCAGAGGCTCAGGCTAGCCCCCTTACCCCTGATGCTGGGGAGGAGACTTGGGACTCACTCTGTAGAATTCCGTGTGGACTTAGCAGAACCCTCTGGAGAAAGATGTCAGCCTGGAGCGCAGATCTGTGGCTGCGTGGTCTGCTGGGTGTGTTCACAATCCTTGGACTTAAGTACCTCTCCTGATGGGAGCTTGTCCAGTGTCCATTTCTGCAGAGTTCTGGCTACATCTTGCTGCCCCTGACCTCAGCAGCTGCAGTGATTAGTTTCCAACCCCCTTTTTTTCTGCTCTGGCTTTTCCTGAAGAAGCAGATGAGTGACAAGGAGCATCAATTATATTATTAACCTGCCTTTTGGCCTTTCCAAAGTAGTGGCTTTGCGTTTACCCCTAATGAGTGGCTGCAGCCTCTCCTGGAGACTCCCAGGAGTTCTCAGATGGGATGAGGTCAGCAAGAGTTAGACGTGTGATGAACACAAACAGCTTGGCAGGTAAATGCTCATCATCACACTGATGTGATGAACATGGTCTACAGCGGCCGCTGAGCCCTGCTCATGTTCACCCAGGGGGTTCTACGTCTCTGCTCAGTTTCCTGTCCAAAGGTTATCTGGACAGATGCAGACATTGTTCATCCTTCAAGGCCTCATCCCAGTTTCCGCAAGCGGTGGTACCAACCTCTGCTGTGTCTTCAGGTATCATACGAAGACCTCTGATGGCTTCCTCAAGCCACACAAACAATCAAGCCCTGGGCGTCCCTCAAGAACTTAAGTAGACCTGGGGCTATCTAATGATAGGATACACACACACACACACACACACACACACACACACACACACACACTGCCCAGCAATTCTGCACTACACACAATTGTCAGGCAAAGGTTGTTAACAACAAACGGGGGAGATGTAGATGGACAGAAAACACTGTAAAGAAATGTGCAAATAGCACATAAGAGATTAAGAGATAGAAAGTGGAGCTCCTATTCCTGTCAGTCCTGAAAGGTTGTCTAGATGGTTACAGCTGAGATACAGATGATTTGCCGGTCAGGGGAGGTGAGGAAGGCATCCCAGCAGCAGGGTGAATTCTGAATGTTACCAGCAGCATCCCAGATGGATTCTGCAGTTCTAAAAGGTGTAGACGAATTTCTAAACAGTCTTATTAAATAATAAACACAGAGCCAAATACAGAGGTATAAGCCGTAGAGATCAGAGCAATAGCCGCCAACTAACCTTAGCTCACCATGTCGATGTAGCTTCCCAAGAGAGCCTCTTCCTGTCTAACCTGCGCCTTTATTGCATTCCTGTTCTGCCTTCTCATTGGCTCTAAGCCCAGCCACCTCACCTCCTCATCACTGCCTGTCTATACAGACCTCCAGGTCTCTATGGTTGGTCCTGGGATTAAAGGCATGTGTCACCAGCTTGGCTGTGTCCTTGAACACACAGAGACTCTGCCTGCCATGTGATTGGATTAAGGGTGTGGGCTACCACCGCCTGACTTGCTATGACCTCTGATCTCCAGGCAAACTTTATTTATTTACATACGAATAAAATATCACATTTCAGTACAAATAAAATACCACCACAAAAAGGACAGCAAATATAAACATGGCAGAGGCTCTAGGGATTAGCTATTTTCAAAAATAAAAATAAAACCAGTAAAAATTATTTCAACAGATCCTCTTGGGAATAGTTTGCTGCATTTGGAAGTCCACAGTGACTTGGGTATATTAAGGGAGGGTGTTCAAGTGTGAAGAAGACCTGGCTAAACATGGGTAACAGAAGGAATCCTTTTCTGGAATCACATGGGATCTTGATTCTATGCCTTGTGCCTTTAATGGAGTGTAGAAATATGGATTCAGAGAAGCATGCTTCAAGATGTCTCCGTGTGAAAAGTGCCCACAGTAATTAGAACGTGTGTAACCAAGTGTGGTCAGCAGAGGTGAAGTCTGAATGCCACAGTCCTCTGTGTCTGCCTGGCACTGAGAAACTACTGCAGGATGATGGAGCTGAGAGAGGAGAGACAGACAGACAGACAGACAGAGACAGACAGAGAGAGAGAGAGAACAGGCAAGAGAGATACATGGCCCCACAGCCCTCCATTCCTCCTGTCTCTGTCTGACTCCAGGGTCCTGTCAGTGCCTGTGACAGGAGACGATTTGCAGGCATCCTCCTGGAACAGGGAGGCTTGAGTAGTGTTTGGTCCAGAGCCTGTAACGTAGCAGCTCTGGCTCCCACATCAGCACAAACACATTCCCATCCTCCCCGCCCGGAACTGGGCTCCCTGCTCTTTGTCAAATGTGTTCAGTCTAGATAAAAGCAGAGCCAAACCCACAGCAATCTGTTTTAAAATATTTCAGGAGAGGATAAGGCGAGCATGAAGAATAATGACCAAGTTTGTTCTCTAAAGGTCGCCACGGCCTTACAGACCTGGCTGCAGAAACCTTCTGCCAATGGGTGGCTTTGGAGCAACAATCAAAGCATCAGCTCTTTTTGCTGAGACTACAAATCCCAAACTTGGCGCCAGATTCTAGTTGCAGCAGAAGAAGATCGGGTCAGGGGTGGGTAATAGAGGAGACCCATAGGCGCCCAACACCGGCTGCTCACTGTATGTCAGCCATGTGCATGCAGAGGGTCTTCGGACAAAGGCAAGGCATGCCTCACTGGGAGCCATGAGAAAGCTGAGGCTTGGGACCCAGAGGAGGTGTGAGCTTGAGGCACTTGGTTCTTTGGTCACCAGGACCAGATGACTCTTCCTCTGGAGTTCTCGCCCTCGTCAAAGGTGTACAGGGAGAGCGGCCCCGGAGGACAGCTCTGGAAGCCAGGCCATTGGCACCAGAAGTGACTTCTGTAGCCTCAGAGGACCCCCCAAGGAAAGAACAGCAGGACCTCAACACCCTGGGCTGTGGTTTGGGGTACAGCAAGAGATCCAAAGGAACCTCATCCTGGAGTTCTGAAATGAAAGATGTAGGTCAGGTCTGGGAATAGGGTGGAGTCCTGGGAAAAGACACCATAGCTGAGTTTGGAAGATCTCTGTTCCACAGTCGAGCAGGTGTGGCTTGGAGCAGGCTACACCGTCTCTATCAGGCTGAGTGGCCACTGTGTAGGGGATACGGAAGAGGGATGTGGGCAGTGTACGTCCCAAAAAGAGCACCTGACATACCACGGGTGGACACGGGATGCCTGAGCCCAAGACTTCCCCTGCTTCCCTGATGTGTGTGTTTCCCTATCAAACTGTGACAGCAGCCAGATGACACAGACGGAGACTGGTGTGTGGATAAACCTAGTGTGGTCGGTCTTTGCAGCACAGGTTGGCCAAGCTACCTGAGAGGTGGGAGGTGGTTCATGTCACTGTCCAGATCAGAGGACCAGAGGGTCAGAGCATGAGCCATGGGATGCATATGGCTGTACCCCCAGAGACTCCAGGCTTCTAAAGGAGGGGTCAGTTCCTGACTTCACAGATGGCTCATCAAGATAGGACAGGTCACCAGAGCGTCTCACGGTGGCCTTGTTCTGCCTCTCATGGTGCCCTGCTCCAGGATGTCTCAGGAAGAAGCCGCCCCCTCTAGAGCTCCAGCAGCTGAGTGGACTCTTGAGAAATGTCTAGTTTTGATTGGAGCCGTTAGGCCTTAGAGTCAGGAGGAGTTTGGGGTGCAGCATGCAGGTGGACAGGGAGACACATTCATTTCCTGCCCCTGGGACAGGAACTGACAAGACTTCGTTAGAAAACTTTGGTTTCTAGCTGACTGAGGCTAGCTCTGTCCCTGTCACCGTGGTCACAGAGCCTGGGCTCCTTGTCTGCCTTGCAATCCCAGGGAAAAACACGACCTCCTGGGCCCCAGAGCTTTGCTTTTAATTAATGGACCCTATTTAGAGCAGCATAAGTTTAAAGAATTGAATGGAAGCCCAGCAGGTTCCCTCACCTCCTCCTCCACACTCTCCGCTCAGGTTCACACTAGGTGGAAGTGGGCGTTGGCCAGTTGATCAACACACTCCCGCTGTGCCTCTGGAACTCACGTTCACTTCAGGCTAGCTCTGGAGTTGAGTGGCACACAGAATGATCTCAGAGTCATAGACCCAACCCCTGCCCCTGCGCAGTCCACAACTGAGGACTTTAATAGAAACAAAGTAAGGTCAGGCAGACACAATGGACAAGCAAATCAGAGAACCACGGACTGTCTCCAAGTGACAACGACCGTTAGGCAAGGGTCAGGCGTGGTAGAGGGTACCCAGGTCAGGCTCCACGTCCTGCCCAGTCTCCTTTTCCTCTCTTGAGATCCTTCCCTCCCCTGGTGAGAGCTACAGCAGCCTGGCCAGGTGCTCCACACGGCTCCCTCTGGCCCTGCTGCCCTCCGTCCAGTCCTGGGACCTGGCTTGAGGCTGGGTTCTGGGTGTTGCAAACATGGTCTGCTGCTGTGGCGGCCACCTGGGCATCCTGGCATCCCTGCACCTGGAGCAGGAGGTCTGGACCCCGACACCTACCTTTCCTTTACCACTTCTGGGCCGCCATGTCACAGCCTGGGAGTCGCATGGGGTCTCCCTGGGTTCCGAGGCCGCGGGCAAGGGTGAGATTTCTTCTCGCAGGACTTGCCCTGCTGCGCGCTCTCTTGTCAGAGATCACACCTGGCTGGGACTTGCGCTGATGCGTCTTCTCTGCTGTGTCGTGACAGGTGCTGGCATTGACGGAGTGGAGGAGATCAAGCGTCACCCTTTCTTTGTCACCATTGATTGGAACGTAAGTCACATGCAGAGGGGATGCCGTAGCTGCTTGGTGCCCGTGGCCTCTCTGAGACACACACAGACTGTCCACCTGTGGATGAGCAGCATGCTTGGGACCCTCGGCATGGCTGTCTCCCCAGAGAGATGCCAGCTGGTGCACACAGTCCTAAACCCTCACTGGCACCCTGCCCATGGGGTCCACGGCATCCATCCTCTCACACCTGTCCCAGCCATGCTAACTCCGGCGTCTGCTGAGGCAGAGGCTTGCCAAGGACAGACAGGCTTGCAGGGCTGACTTGCATCTGACAGCATTCTGGGCTCTCCTCTCCCTCATGGCATGCCTCCTGATACCCACACTGTGCCATACAAGCCCTCACACGTAAGACTTTCATTCCCGGAGCTGATGTCAATCCCAGAGGATTTTTTAGCAGGACATTGAAACATCAGGCTGGGTGTAGATCAGTGGCAGAGCACTTGTCCAGCATACATGAGGCCCTGGGCTCGGTCCCCTAGCACTGAAAAAAAGAAAAGAACAAGAAAATGATGTGCGTTATGTGTAAAGTTTACTTTCTGCTCGGGACCCCTTCCTTTATGTCCTCACTTGTCTGACCTCAGGGAACACACTAGTACCACAGGATTGAACAGTCCGCACCGAAGCTCTGGTCCCTTGTCACCTGAGTCCCATCCAAACTGGGCAAGTCGGGGTGTCTCTGAGCCCTGGGTTTACAGTTCTGATTACAGAACTTGTTAAGTGAGGCTTCTTCTCCCAGGTGAGGTCAAAGGGAAGCCGGTGATTGTCAGGTGCCTGGATCTCCCAGCAGGTGCTCAGAGAGCCCAGAAAATCAGACTGTCCACTCCCCAAAGCCAAAGAGGGCAGGACCTTGCAGAAGCAAAGCCAAACCTGCTCAGTCCATCACCAGGCTCCACGGCTCCCATCTTGGCTCAGTCTGAGAGCTGAGGAGATGCCTGTCTGTGGAGACTGGTCTGCTGACAGATTTCTTGTCAACAGCCGTCTTCATGTTACCCTGAGGAATGATGAGCACAGCATAACATATGGGCATGAAAGCCAGGCCTCTGGGGTGGCACTCCCGTCCCTGGTAGGGGACACATCCTGGTTTTTCTCTGCCAGTGTATTGTTCCCCTACTTGGTTCAAGCACACTGAGGCTCTATGTTTCAGGAACTTCCCAGGCTGGGGATGACCATGGTGTGGTAGAGCCTTGCCGTGGGGATCCAGTGACCTCACTGGACAGAGAAGTTGTGCCGTGGGACAGGGTTTGCTGCACAGAAGGAGGCTGGGAATAGAGCAGAGGAAGTGGGGATGTGGAAGAGGAATCCTGCCCTAACCCCACCCAGTCCACGCTCTCCGCTGGCCATCTTCCTGGACCTCTTTCCCAAGCCCCTTGCGTTATCTCCTCCTCACAGTCTTCTCTTCAGGGTCGCCGAAGGAAACCTGCCACGTTCCGACCCCGACCTTGCCCCTCTGCTGCCCCATTAGCTTTGAATCTGCCACATGGCGTCCCTGGCGTGGGATGAGTGACCCTTTCTGTCTCCTTCCTCAAATGTGAGCCAAGGGCAGTCAGGGTCTGCTGACTTAGAAGACGTGACCCAGGCCTCCAAAGAGGCCAGGAGGCCACCAGAAAGATGCCTTTGAGAGAGTGAGGTGGTGTGGGGAGGTGAGAGGGGGAGGGGGTGAACTAGAGCCATTGATGACTGAGGAGCAGCAGGAGGCCTGGGATGAGATTCCAGAAGTCTCTCTCAGGCCAGGGTGGGGCCTGTGAAGGAGTACACACACACACACACACACACACACACACACACACACACA